TGTTACGGAAGGCAGGTATTGAACATAAGTGTTCTGCCCCTTATAGACCGTAACGTAATGCTTATATTGAACGCAGAGGACAAACACTGCAGGCTATGGCTCGAACCATGTTATCTGATTCTGGTTTACCTGAGACAATCTAGGGTGAAGCAATAATGTGTGCTAACCACGTTTTGAATAATGTAGTTAATTCAACAACTGGTGAATTACCATTCACACGTTGGCATGGTAGAAAACCAGAATTAAGCTATTTGCATACATTTGGAGCTCCAGCATGGGTTCATACTCCCTCGCAATTGAGGCAAAAGAGGCAACAAAGAGCAAAGAAGATGTTTTTTGTTGGTTATGAATCCAACCACAGGTCATATAGATTTTGGGCGCCAGGTACCTCTAGCGTCTACTGTAATGCTAGTGCCAATTTCCTGGAGCATGTTGGTTGGAATAAGCTTGAGCAAGCAGGTTACAAAACAGAGGATAGTGTTATTATTGATACACAAATACTCAGTGAGGATGAAATAGCTGATGTAGAACCTATTATTGTAAAGAAAGAAGGGGTTTTAGGGGAGGAAGTAGAAGATACACCAGTTACGAGTCCTGAGTTACCCAGAAGATCTACTCGGGTGAGACATCCACCCGACAGGTTTCAAGCCAGTGTGGTATGTCAGGTTAATATACAGCCTTCTAACTATGATGATATAAAACTGTATCCTGCAAAGGATCAAGTAGCTTGGAAGGAAGCAATGGATAAAGAACTTAAATCATTGACTGAGTTAGATTTGTATGAGAACATTAAGCTACCACAAGGTGAGCATCCAATTGGTTGTAAGTGGATTTACAAACTAAAAACTGGTGTGGATGGAACTGTTACCCATAAGGCAAGGTTAGTCGCTCAAGGATTTGCTCAGTCAGATAAGGACTATGATGAAGTTTTTGCATCTAGTTTGAGAGCAACCACATTGCGAACAGTGTTAGTGTGGGCATCTAAGAATGGCTATAATATAAACCATATAGATGTTGAAACTGCATATTTACATGCACCTTTAAAGCACATTATCTATATAAAAAACCACTAGGTTTAAGAACTGATGAGAAAACTGATTGCTGGAGACTAAAGAAAAGTCTTTATGGCTTAAAACAGTCAGGTTATGAGTGGAATAGATGTATAGTAAACGAATTAAATGCTATGGGTTTTGTTGCTGGTACAGCAGATCAATGTTTATTTAGACGAGAGAAAGACGGTTTGATTTCTCTTTTACTCTTGTTTACTGATGACATAGCAATCGTTACTAAAATGGAACAGGAAGCAACAGAACTTATTTCTGTGTTGCAGAATAAGTTCAGGATTAGGTGAAATCAAGCACTATTTGGGTCTTGATATTGTGAAAACTAAGAGAGGGTACAAACTGTTACAAGCTGAGAAAGTTAGCCAATTGCTGAAACGTTACAATATGGAACTCTGTAAGCCTGCTAAGACACCAATGAGTCAGGATTTTAAACATGGTAATATTCAAAGTCCTGTATTCGACAAGGAAATATATCAATCCTTGATTGGCAGTCTATCTTATCTTAGTAATTGGTCTAGGCCAGATATATCCTATAGTGTAAATCAACTGGCTAGATATAACGCTGAACCAACTGAAAGACACTGGCAAGCTGCTAAGCGAAATTTTTTTTGCTGTAGTTGTGGCTGAAAAAAAACGGGAGAAGAGACGGGTAACCCCTACGGCAGAGGATCACTAGTACTGATAGTACAGATAGTATCTGAGGCAGTAGATGGTGTACTGTCACACGACCTATCTATATTTGTAAAATATACTTCCCTTCTATGTGTATTTTAATCTGGTCTTTGACTGAAATAAAAAGCTTACTTACTATCGCAGACCATTTTACAAAAGCTCAGAGTGCAATTAAGCATAAAACGTGTTGTGAGTGTTATGGTTTAGAATGTAAGCTATTATATATTGTCCTAACCAAAGGGGAGAATGTTAGGAAATGGCTATTATCTAACTGGTTGGGCAGACAATATATACCTACGAGACCGTCTTTTGCTACCAATAGCCTCCCACTGACCAGTTCGTTCTCACAGGGAGGGACTACTCAGGGTACTGTCAGTCAAATTATGCCAACTGGTGACTCCCAGGGGGAGGGCCTTCTATGTGAGGGCTCCAGACCTTTGGAATGAACTGCCCCCAGAGATACGGAATATCCCCGACCTTCATGCTTTCCGCCGTGCCTTCAAGACCCTGATGTTCCAACAGGTGGGGCTAAACATGTGAATGATTTTTAAAATGTTATCTAATTCTGGGTTTTTATTTAATCGGGCCAAATTATGTAATAATTTTAATTAGCAATTTTATGATGTTTGTGTGTCTATATTTTTATCTTGGATGTACACCACCCTGAGTCCTATGGGAGAAAGGCAGTATAGAAATATAATAAATAAATAAATAAATAAATAAATAAATAAATAAATAAATAAATAAATAAATAAATAAATACCATCAATATATGTTTGCAGTCAAAATGTATTGTATTGCTTTAAGATTGTATTGCTGTATTGCATCATACTGTATCCTGATTGGCTAGCTCTGTAGCCAAGGTACTTAAGAGGAAGCTTGAATCATGGTTTATTACTCTCTGTGCTTAGTCTCTGCTACTCTCTGCCTCTTCTCTCTGCATGATCACCACCTGATCATTGCTACTTGTTGTTGCTTTCTACTGTTTACTGAATATATTAATGCTGTACTTGCTCCAGTTTGCAACTCTAGAAGAACTGTTTTATTGTGTATGACTACAATAACTGGTAAAAAGACTTTGATCGTGAAATATCCCTGGATTGACATTTCAACTATTGATTTATGTGTGTATGACCTGGATTGTTATTTGGACTTTGCTTTACTTTTTCCTAAAAGTAAAAGAATATCACAACTCAGTGTGTCTGTGTATTGACTGTGATTATTCATAACCACTCTCAGCCATTTTTCATGTGCACACCCTTGATACTCAAGGGTTACTCTGCACATATTCCTCAACAATGTCTATTATCTGAATGTCAATTTTATTAGAAAAGAGAAAGAGCAGTATCTTAGACCCCAGATTAAACAAATGATTATATGCAATCTTGCTAATATTCTGCATTTTGTATTCTTTATCATGATATGGCTTAAAGGTTAATAAAAATAGACTATTCCAGGTGACACCAACTTTTCGGAACTCAGGGACCACCAAATTCATTATTTTAAATCCCGTGAATTAAAAAAAAAGATAAATAGTATTTAGTGGTCTACAGATCACCAAAATTTTCTCGCAGACCACCAGTGGTCCTTGGACAACCAGTTGGTGACTGCTGGACTATTCTAATATGTTCGTGAGAACAACACTGGATGTGTTAAAAGCTTACATTTTGGACTTGATTTGAACTAACCGTACTACACCATTCTTCATTGCTTCTTCAGATCAGTTATGGAATTGTTTCAAAGGCTCTGAGTGATAAAAGACAAATGCCTTTTTTCCATCAGATGCTCCCCAAAAATGGAATCCAATATCCAGGAATTGTCCAACTCCTCCTCCATTTCAGATGGACTTTGATTGGTCTCTTTGCACCAGACACAGAAGAGGGGGAGAATTTCATGAGAACTTTCACTCCTATGCTTATCAGAAATGGAATTTGTGTGGTTATTTCACAACAATTTTCAATGACTAGACATACAGAACCTCTCAAAAATGCCATCTCTATGTGGAGAAAAGTCAATGTCTTTGTTCACTTCATAGAATTTGCTTCCCTTTCGGATAGAATTCACCACATCCATTTAACAATTGAAGGTTTGCCAGGACCCATTGAAGGGAAAGTCTGGATCACCACAATCGTGGAGAAAGTGACAATGACAAGGCATGGACTTTCCAAATATATCCATAGCATTTGGGTCTTTGCTTTGCAGGAAAGAAAATGGCCAAATGATGATGCCTTTCAACCCAATCTTTTTCAGGATTCCAAATTTGAAGACCAGTCTTTTCGCTGTTCTTTTTCAAAGCATGTCCTTTCTGTCAAGGGCCGGAGACGATGCACCCAGATAGCACCACTGGACATGCAAGAGAAAACGAATAGAATTCAGATACAAAATGAGCACCGTTTTTATACTGTTGCTAAGACTCTGGCCCATGTCTTGAATGTTGCATATTCCTCAATATCTAGGAGGAGAAAAATGGAGAAGAAAGAGAGATTGGGGGCTCCAAGGCTAGAGCCATGGCAGGTATGCGGTCCTGACAAGGATCCATCAAACCTAGTTCCTATTTAGAAAAAAATCCAATGCTGAAGTAGGGGAACCATTATTTTCCAAAAAACCAACAGGTTTGGCCAAACAGAGGCCAGATTTAGTTCACAGGATTATGTTCCAAACAGCAGGCACTGTGACAATTATATTTTGATATTAAACACTGCTATTATAAAATTATTTAAAATATATACATTGTAAATACATTCCTGTACTTATGTGTTTGTAATTAGCATGATAAAATTTTATACTCATAACTGTCAGCTAAACCTGGGAGCATTTAGCCTAATCCCTCCTCACTGCAGGAATCCAATTAAAGCTTTTCAGACTAATGGCTACTCAGTCTTTGCATTTTCCTGTGGCATTTATGCTAACCCTAACCCTAACCCTCAACCTTACCCTAACCCTAACCCTAACCCTAAATCACTGCTCACTCTCAGGAGTTCGATCCAGACCAGCTCAAGGTTGACTCATCCTTCCATCCTTTCCAGGTTGGTAAAATGGGTACCCAGATTGTTGCTGATTATAAGTCCAAGTGTTATTGCTATTCAGGCAAACAGTGTAGAGGGGACTGAACATCTCTTATTCACAAGCTCAGCTTTAAAATGGCTCCTCCTTTTAGGATGTTTCAAGTTGCTTTCAAAATTCCTTGATGTTTCAATTCTAGTTCCATCCATTTCTGGAGAAGAATGAGTTTTGCAATTTTTCCTGGGAGAAAGTGCACTTGGACCAAAGTGGAAATGTAGCCGCAGATCTGGATATCATAAATTGGTTATTTCTCTCCAAGGAGGATCCCATCAAAGAGCAACTGGGGAGTTTTGAAAGACAGAGACTTATTATAGACCAAGATGCTCTTTCACGGCTAAAGTTGCTCAACAAGGTGGTTGAAAATATTGGCAACTTTTCTCAGTCTATATGATTGATATTAGGGTCCCCTGAAAGAGCAGGGTCAGATATTTTTTAACAGCCCGTACCTGACCACAGTTATTCATGCTTTTGTTTCACCCCACTGGGATAGGCCTCCTGCTGCTAGGAAGGTGATCCAAGGTGTTCAATCAATGTGGAATCACAATGACTTGTCCGATATGAGATAATGCCTTAAACTAGAAAAATGAAGGACTGAAAATGACTTTGACCCCCCCCCCCAAAAGTTTCTTGACTCTTGAAATAATGAGACAATGAGGATCCACTTGTAATGAAATGCTACTTACATTTGGTATTTGGCTTCTAATCCATCTAAAAGCCCCTTGAATGCAATTGTTTATCTTGATTGTAAGCTACCTTAAGTCTTCCACTGAAACAAAGAATTCTCCAAATTTAAGCAATAAATAAATGTGGATCTGTCTTTTCATGTCATCTAATTGTAGTTCTAATTTTGAGAGGCAGTGGAGTTCAGAGAGTCCTGGAGTGCTATGGTTCTTGGGGGCTTCAAGAGTTGGACACAAGTAGCGACTAACAAGAAAACTGTAATTCTTCAATGGAAAGGACCTTGTCTTGAATCCCTCACTTGGCCTTAGAAATATCCCTTTCCCACACAGGGTTCATGCTCATGTCCCACGGGCTGCAGGAAAACATGCCTGGCTCACTCTTTTTAAGTGACATGTTCCCACTCATCCTCACTATAGTTCTAGAAACTAGGCAGTAATGTTTAGTCTTATTTCACCAGCATGGCAGCTGTATGAATTGAAAATATAAGTGTACTGATATAACTAAATAATACCTCATTTGAAGTTGACAGCCCTAGTCTGGGAGGAATTTTTTCTTTATATCTTAACTGGAAGAAAGATTTGGATTATTTTCAAAGGGGAGTGGCTTTGTAATATTTTATGTTTTCCTGATCTACTGCTCAGAAGTTTCTTTCTTAAGCACAGTTTCATTTTATTTTAATCAATCAATCTAATAAATAAAAATTTGGCAGATATTTTGGAATGAATGTTGTTTTTCTGTTTAGTCTCTGCCTGAGTCCAAATGTGTGGACAATTGTTGCCCTGGATTTGTAAAACGGGCTCGGAAAGAAGAACCAATTTGCTGCTACGATTGTATTCCTTGTCCGGAGGGGACCATCTCCACACAGGAAGGTGAGTAACACAAGAGGAACTCTGGCTTTCCTGTCTCTTGGTATCAGCTGTCATCCAAAGAAGGTCTTTCTTGGAATGTGAAAGGAGAGACTAAAAAAATAATAATACTTGCTGTTTTCTCAGATACTGAAAAATGCACCAAGTGCCCAGATGACAAATATCCCACTGAGGACAGAATCCAATGTATCCCCAAAAGAATAACCTTCCTGTCCTATGAAGAACATCTGGGCATCATCCTGGTCTCCTTTGCTGTACTCTTGTTTCTAACAACAGGCCTTGTTTTGGTCATATTTGTTAAACACCTAGAAACTCCCATTGTCAAAGCTAACAACCGTGACCTGTCCTATATCCTCCTGGTTTCCCTCTTGCTTTGCTTCTTGTCCTCCTTTTTCTTCATTGGCCGACCAAGGAAAGCCACCTGCCTTCTCCGACAAACAATGTTCAGCATCATCTTCTCAGTAGCTGTGACTTGTGTGTTAGCCAAAACAATCATGGTAGTGCTGGCCTTCCTGGCCACGAAACCAGGGAACAGGGTGAGGAGATGGTTGGGGAAGAGCTTGGCCAACTCCATCATCCTTTCTGGCTCTACTGGAAAAATGGTCATTTGTGCAATCTGGCTGGGAGTTTCTCCTCCGTTTCCGGATTTTGACCTGCACTCCCAATCAGGAGTGATCATCCTTCAGTGCAATGAAGGCTCTGTGACCATGTTTTATGTGGTTCTCTGCTACATGGGTTTCCTTGCTGCCATTTGCTTCACAGTGGCTTTCCTGGCCAGGAACCTGCCTGGGGCCTTCAACGAAGCCAAACTGATCACCTTCAGCATGCTGGTCTTCTGCAGCGTCTGGATCTCCTTCCTGCCCACCTACTTGAGCACCAAAGGGAAATACATGGTGGCCGTGCAGGTTTTCTCCATCTTGGCTTCTGGTGCTGGCCTGCTGGGCTGCATCTTCTTCCCCAAGTGCTACATTATCATCCTGAGACCAGATCTAAATACTAAGGAACATTTAATGATAAAAGTTGGTATCTGATCATGAAGTAGTTTCTTAAGCTCATAACACTTAATTATTTATTGCAGTTATTATTGAGTTTGTATGCTTCTTTTGACAATTAAGGTTATTTAAAATCAAAAGAAATAAATATACAAAGAATGTAAGACTAACTTAAGATAATCATCAAAATGTAAAATAAATAAATTAATAATTAAATAATTAATTTGTCATGAAACTAGGGAAGGACAAGATAACAAATGAGTTAATTATGTTAATATGATGCATCTGCAGAGGAGACAAGACTTCCCAGATTGGGGTGAGGGGGAGGGATATGACATCATCTATCTCCAGTCCTCAACACAGTCCTCTCAGCAGTTCCAAGAAGGCTCCACATCCACTTGCTCTACTTAGGTGATCCTGAGGGCAGAGATCAACCTCCAAGTGGCCTCAATGACTCTCTAAAACAGGGGTGTCAAACTCGTGGCCTGTAGGCCGTATGCGTCAAGTGCTGGTCTTACTCCCTCCTGGGTTAATGAAGGGGAAAAAAGTCCCAATATGTTACGTGTTGCCACTGTGATGACATGAGTTTGACACTCCTGCTCTAAAAGGATGCAAATGACCAGATGTCGGCAAGGAGTATAAATCCTTCCATTCCCCACCATCCAGTTAGAGCTGAAGAAGCTTCTTGGATGAGAAGTGAAATGTCTTCAAAGAAAAACAAAACAGTCCAGTTACCTCTTGAAAAAAAGCATCTTTGGGACATTACCTTACTACAAATCTCCACTTCAACTGTAGTCTCAAATGATGATGAAATTGAACAAAATAAAACAAAATAAAGGGTGAGTAGAGAGGCCTTCGTTGCAAGGTGTGGAACTTCCATTTCAATGGGGACAGAACTTTACCTCAAATTTTGGATATTATGGGCATCAAATAAAATACCATATTTTGTTCCTTAAGCTTTAAGTCCTGATTCTGTAGATAGCTTCTGATCCCAATGATGGAGCATCACAATGGAGATGGTTGATGAACTAAGAGGCAATCCCACCCCCCACATATCCAGCTCCTTCCCTCCCTATTGTTTAACTATAATTCTATTTTGATTGTAGTTTCTTTTTTTTTATTGAAAAAGTTTTTCAAATACAAATTTTCCCCCCTTTTCCCCCTCCTCCCTAACCCCCCCTCCCCCTCCCCTCCCCCTATGACTTCTTCATAATAAAACCCAAGTTCATAACAGATTATATAATACTTTACCATCCCCTTACTCCATCCCCATATGCTGACCCTTTCTTTCTAATAATATTATCATATCCCCCTTATACTATACATTTCAAAATGACATTCTATTATAACATTATATAATAACTCCTAATTTAGCATAATAATATTATTATATCTCCCAGTTTAGCGATTTCTGCTCATAATCTGCCCTTTTTCTAACCCCCCATACATATATCTCTTAAATCAAATCCTTTATGTATATTAATATAACATTTCAAAGCCTTCCGCTATAAAACTATATAATAAATTCTAATTTAACATTTATTCAATTCAGAGTCTACCCATTTCCTTCACCCCCATCGTTATATCTCTTAACTCAAATCTTTTACATATATTCATATCTAAACATAATATCCCTTTTCTTAAACTAAACAATCAATAAATCAATAAACTAACCTGTCTCCACCCACTTTCCTACAAGACTACCATACTTAATAATTCTTAGTATCTTCATTCTTCTGCCCACTCCACTAAAAAATATTCCCTTATGTAAATAAAATCCTCTTAAAAAGACTTTAGGCTTGTAATCCATATAATATCTTCTGTAGTGTCTTTCAGCTGGATTGTAAACTCCATCACCCATGTTAGGGTAACATCACATCCTAATTCCAACAGTATGTTCGGTATCTTCCATTACCATCTGCCCCCATCAATAGCAAATATCTTCAAAAAAAAAAAAAAAAAACAACCACCCGAGTGACTTTATATTTGTATTCCATATAGTGTCTGTAGAGGTGTCTTTTATCCAAATTATTAATTCCAACCACCGTAATAGGGTAACAGCCAGATAATCTGCGTGCCCCAATTCCATAACACTCTTGCCTTGTGGCTCAAGATAAACGTAGTATATTTATCAAAGAATCCAAAAAAATCCATTCAGTTTAAGGCCCTTTTCACATCCCAAAAGTACAGCACTGCAGAGGTCTGTCATTCTCCTCAGGATAATATAAACCAATACTTTGCCAATTATCTTTTCATATATTCAATCATCTCTTAAATATCCCGCCCCCCATATATCCAGCTCCTTCCCTCCCTATTGTTTAACTATAATTCTATTTTGATTGTAGTTTCCATTTTAATTATTTTAGAAATATTTCTCTTTTAGGATTTTAATGGTATAAGTTTCCCAGATGGGTGGCAAATAAGCCAAATGAATGAATGAATAAATGAACGAACAAACGTTTGAAGCAAGTTTACCAGTGAGTGGGTGGGATCCTCTTCAGTCCATTTAAAAAGAAAGAACATCACATCTTTCCAACGTTGTAAAAACTTTATTTTTTTGCAATCTTTTGTAATATACAGCAAAGATGTGATTTGAGAGTTGTGGTTGGAAAACTTTATAAATGCTTTGTGAAAGTGATTTAAAGCAGGGCTCACCAAACTTTCAGACCTCAGGGACCACTAAATTCATAATTTTAAATCCTGCGGACCACTAATATGATCTGCCTAATGACTGGCTGGGTGGGCATGGCTAGCTGGTCATGTGACTGGGTGGGCATGGCCAACTTAATGTCACTCATGCTGAGGGGTGCCTAGCCGGCCTCTATTGCCCTCCCCTCCCAGTCACTCCTCACCTGCCTGCCTGGGCTCCTTAGGGCCCTAACAGGAAGCAGTTGTTGGAGCTAAGCAGCCACCATAAGAAAGAGTTGGCAAAACGGCTGGCTCAGTTCAAATTGGATCTGGCCAAGAAGGAGGATCAGCAGAAGCACCTCACTGAGGACTACGAGCATCGGCTTTCCAAGCAGAGGGAAGACCTGCGGGAGTTCAAGGCCAGCTACTGGGGCCTGGAGGCTCAGCAGGTTGACATGGTCAGCCAGTTCCAGGCCATGATCCAGTCCCACTGGAACAAGGCCCTCTGGGTCTTTACCACCAGTGGCACTTCCCTCCAGCCTTCACCCAAAGCCCTGCACCAGGAGACTGAAGCAGACCCCAAGTCAGAATTTCTGCCCCCCTCTGCCCCACACCAATGGACCCTGAAGGGGGAGACTCTCTGCAGCAACACAAGCGTTCATTGCATGTATCCGGTCCAGGGGCCATAGTTTGAGGACCCCTGATTTAGTGCAATAGAACAACCACAAATAATTTTTCTGTGGACCACCAAAATTTTCTCACGGACCACCAGTTGGTGACTGCTGATTTAAAGACTATGAAGTTAATTACAAAGAATCTTTGGTATGGGAAGAATCTGTCTTGATTGCTAATCGATTGAAAAACAAAACCTTGAAAGTTGATTACCAGAATACAAGATGACTACTTGAAAGGAATTTTATTTTAAATATTATTTTAAAACAATCATAAAACACATATTTTCAAAACAAAGCTCTTGGTCACAAATTCATACAAATCACTAACAAATCTTAATTTTCAATTAATACAACTTAATATTTTACTCAGTTATTTCCCTCAAATCTATTATTTAACTATGCCATTATCCCCAAAAACCTATTACTTAAATCTTAAATCTTAACCAATTATCTTACCCTTTTTCTCTTTCATTTGCTTAGATGGATATATTTTTAAAGTATATATTAATTATTATAAACATTCATAAAATATTAAATTTTATAATCAAGATGTAACAACACAGGCAACCAACCCGCTCACAGCAACAAAGCCAGCACCCCACACCTCCCCACCAGTATTTATAGAGAGACGGCAGTTCCGATCACACTTTCCTCGCACAAGCACGAAGCCGAAGACACCAGCCTGAAGATAACAAGTGGGACCTCGTCGAAACGTCGCCAAGATAGTCTCAATCTTACACGGGAAAAGTCCCGAATACACCAAAACTTGCATACCTCTACCCGTGAAAATCTACGAAAATAAATATTTATATATATACACACGCATACATACATATATATATATACATACACGCCCACACACACACACACACACACACACACACACATATATACATACACACATATGTATTTATATAAATTTGGGGCAAAATTCTCCAGTTTCCCACATTGTCCCATCTTCAAAGTTTGGAGGCACAACTTTGAATTCTCCCTTTGAGCACCTCCTATTGACTCAT